TTTGAGGATCTGGACAACCATTCTAACATGAAATTCATGGACAAGACAACAACAACTCTCTTCTCCTTACTACAAGTAATTTTATAAACTACAGGGACAGATAATTTATTAAATTATTAGCATTTCTGGTTGGATCCTAGCAGAGCCTACACCCTTGATATGAATGATTTTGGTTGGCGCCAATCTTGGTAACCCTACTTTGATACACTTGATATGGTAAACCTAACTATTTCTGGAATTTTCGCATTTCACCATTTTGTCGGCAGGCATTTCGAATTTCGTCATTGGGCTGGAAGTATGGCTACATGCGTGTGTGAGTGAGTATAGGTTAGAATTTTTTACTTTGTTGAATGTGAAAGGTAAGAATTGATTGAATGGTGTATGAAAGAAAAATTGTTTGCTTCAAATTATGAATGTCTTAAATGTAACGAGTGAATGGGGTTATACGAACGAAAGAGTGTTGTTTTGGATGGATTTGAATGGAGATGTCGAAAAAAGGTGTGAATGCGCATGGTGTTTGCAGATGCATAAGAAAGAATTCATGGTTTTTCAATAGTAATTTAAGTATGCATGATATTGTGCATGTAACTAAAATGTGGTTTGGAAGATGTTTGAATAATTATATTGTGAATGAATTGAAACTGAATAAGAATACAGTTGTTGATTGGTTTATGTTTTGTCGAGAGGTTTGTATGAACGTGATTGTGAATGATAGTGTGAAAATTGGAGGAGTATATGTTATTGTTGAAATTGACAAGAGTAAGTTTGGGAAAATGAAGTATGGAAAAGGCAAGCCTGTGAATGGACAAGTTATTGTTTGATATAGAAAGAGGAACAAATAGATTTTTTTTAAGAAGTGATTGAACGACAGACGGAACAGGAATTGTTGTGCGTGATTTTAAGGAATGGGTCTTGCCTGCAAGTACGATTGTTGGTAAGCTTATAAATGTTTGTCAGATGAGGAGTTTAAACATTTCGAGGTTTACCATAGCGTATGTTTTAAAGATTCTGACACCGGTACTCACACAAATTCTATTAAGGGTACATGGTCTGCAATAAAATGTTTTCGGCTGATCTTTAGAATATGGTAACTGGTAGTTTGGCGACATTTTGGAGGCGATAAAGGTTACTACCTGGGACTTTGGTAATAATGTGAGCAGTACTCAGTTCCGATTACGCATTATTTTGTGTGAGGAAAAATGAGAGATCATGGGATATGTCATGTGATATTAATGGACGAATTACGGTTCTTTAATCGGAAAAGGGGGGAAATCGGGAAAAAAATCTGGAAATTTTGTATTTGGCTTTATTCTGTGTTGTTGTGAAACAGTGTTCGTTAATTTTTGGATCCCATGGCCCTAACTAAAGTTAATTTTTGGATCCTATGGGCCTAACTAAAGTGAATTCGAAATGGGTATTTAGTGGGATTGAAAGGGGTAGTAATAAGTGTTTCTTTAAGGTTGGGCGAGATAGAAGTAAAGATGTTTTATTAAGTTATTTATTTTACCTGGTACCTTGCTGTGAACTATAAGTATGATTTTAAAGATCCTGAAACAGAAATAAGAAAAGTTTATCGGACACGTAATCAAGATTCTGAAGAAGAATAGGTAAGTTAGTATTTTTAATTATTTGAGGATATTATTTTTATGCATTGTTCTAAATGTAAGGTGGAAGTAAAGTAATTTGCGTAAACGTGCATGGAAATAATTTAAATATTTGACACTAAGTATTTGTAATGTTTGCGGTATGAATTAGTTAGTGATGTTTGTAATATAATAGATAATGTAGAGGTAAAAGTTTTTGGATATTTTATTTATTTTATACGGGGAAATGTTCATATTTGGAAAGGGTATATACGTTTTCGCGATCAGGTAATTTTATATATGTTCTTTTTACCAGGTTTTTAAAGATTCAGAAAATTGTTATGCATTTTCGTGAAATTTTTCTAATTTATGAGAAAAAAAGCAAGTGTAATGGATATAATGAAGAGTAGTGTACATGGAATGAAGAGTGTGCGCAATGCCATTTTTGTGCAATTCTGGGATGTTTTTTTAAGTAAAAATAAGTCGACGTGTACATGGTTTAGTGATATTTTAATTAAATGATAGTTATTTTGTGAATTTTATGTTTTGTAGGAATTTGGTATACGTTTAAGTTGAAGTAAACGTGCATGGAAATAATTTAAATATTTGACACTAAGTATTTGTAATGCTTGCGGTATGAATTCGTTGGTGACGTGTATAATATAATAGATGATTTAGAGGTAAAAGTTTTTGGATATTTTATTTATTTGATATGTGGAAATGTTCATATTTGGAAAAGGTATAAAATTTTTCGCGATCAGGTAATTTCATATATGTTCTTTTTACCGGGTTTAAAGATTCAGAAAATTGTCATGTATTTTTGTGAAATTTTTCTAATTTATGAGAAAAAAGCAGTGTACATGGATATAGTGAAGAGTGTGCGCAATGCCATTTTTGTGCAATTCTGGGATTTTTTTTAGGTAAAAATAAGTCAGCGTGTACATGGTTTATGTGTATGTGTTATTTTGAAAAACGCGTAAGGAGTATGGTATTGTGCACTTTTTCCCAATTTTGCAGTGAATATTTGTCATGATTAAGCAGTTTTGTTAGATAAAATTTCCAGCATAAGTGCAATTCGGCTAGTAGATTGTTGGAAGAAGTGTTCAGTAGATAAAAAGAAAAGAAACATGTCTTTACTTCGTGAAGACAAAATGGCGGCGGGAAAAAAAAATAGAGGGTTGCTGTAGGAGAGTTGGTCGACAAATTTTCGCCAAAAAAACGCCAAGTTACCATAATGTAAAGATCAACCGATTTTAGCTTTGAGGTCTGGATTATAGATCATTCCGGATTATGGGTGTCCGAATTAATGACTTTTGACTGTATTTTCATTACGCATACACCTTGTCCTGCTATATTCACTTGCTCTCATCTCGTTACGGCTTGGCACTTTTTGTTTCATTTTGTCACCAAGGGTGTGGGCTCTCCTAGGATTTTACTGCATTTACTGTTTTAATTTATTTACAGTTCAATTTACATCTTAATTCTAAATTCTTACATTCTCTTTAAAATTTTAATCTATGGATACAATTTAGTATCATACACTAAAAAACACTTTATTAAGATCAATACTTTTACAAGATATAATAATTTCATCTCAGATATAAAAGAAAATATAAAGAAAAAAAATGAACGGAATTCCCAAGAGAAATTTCTTTTCCCATCTTATTTAAAAATCTATTTGTATTTCTTTTGATGGATAAAATAACAGGTTATTTATCTTCATTCAATAAACCCTCACAAATTTTAATACATTTAGTAAGCAAGATTCTTTAATATATTAAGATGTAAGTTCATTAAGAACAAATAATTGTAATACTAACAATTTTTAAATAAATGAATTCTTAGCATCTTGCATGAATTATTACAGATTATTCATTACTTGTCCATCAGCCAGAAAGAAGCAAAATGATTTCGTAATGCTCAGAAAAAAGATGCGATAAATCACTGCAAATTTGTTAAGTTAAATGCCAGGCCTATTTTGAAGTATCTAGACTTGTTCTTACAGACTGATGTGGTGTTTAATGTGTTAAACTAAGAAACTAGGGCACTATATGATCAGTGGCTGATTTCTGGTGCTATGAAATTGTATTCACAGATATTTGAAGTATTAAAATTCAGCTGCTGCCCACTATGTTTGGCAGATTACCACCATATGAATATGTTCTGTATCTTTCATTTGAATGTTTCAAATATATCAAAGACTAAGGTACCGAAGAAAGCATTATTCGTATGGCAGAACTGAATATCCACTGGCAAACAGGAACTCAAATGGCACAAAATTTAAATTTGAACAAGCTTTCAGTTAATGACACAGAAGAGACATGACATTATGATAAATACATCTGTTTTTTGGATTATTTATATCTTATACAGGATTACTACATCAGACAGCAATTTGTATTGAAATTAATATTAATATAACTAGGAAATTATAATTTAATGAAGATCATTTACATCTATGCTTACTAGCTGTTACGCTTAAATTACTGGAAAGAGTATAAGCTACCAGATACAAACTTAAAAGAAATGGAAAGCTCAAATTTTATGTTAAGAATAAAAACTAAAAATCCGATTAATATATTTCGAAGTATTAACAGTTATAAAAATTACTGTGAAGTTCATATTTGCCTATAAGAATCTTTTACTAGAGACTCACTAAATTGTTTTCATACGAACTTTAACCAATCGTTAGTAAAAAATTGCACATGTTAAAGGATATACAATTTATAAACTTTCAATAGGAAGGAAAATTTTTAATAAACATGCTCCGAACTGTTTATCACATAAAATTAAGATAAAAGTACACACACATATATCCAAAATTAAAGAATTTAACTAAACTGTTCCACATGAAAATTTAGTTTTCTTAAACATAAATTAAAACAAAATAATTTTATTAATAGCGAAAGGCGTACTCAATGACAAAATTAAGATGTGTTGCATGTATCCGGATATACCCGACACTTTAAAGAAAGCTTAAAGTAAGCTAAGTATATACATAAAAAACATACGAAATTAACGTCACTAGTATACGCTGTGCTCTTCCTTTCAACGGAAAAATAAGCTATTGATATTTTATATTAAAATCTCACATAATGATTAGGCTTAAATTTGTCATCATCTGATCAAAAGCTTTAGAAAATGAAATATTTGTGCATATTTAGTAATGATAGACACATGTATTGTAGTTAAGAGATTGGCAGGAAGAATATTATTTACGTTCTTGAGGTATTATTACACCAAAGCACATAAAATATTTACTTCCTATTATGGAACAATGCAGGCTTAAAAAGTCAAGACCGCTCATTTCTCTTTCACACAAGAATTTAAGTATAAGGAAATACAAAATACCATTTATTTATTACAAATCGAAAGAATCCACACTTGTATACACAACTTTATGAATTAAATACTTACAGAACAACTTTGGTCCATTTCTATGTCCCTAACACGGCATGCTCTAGCCGAAAGGGGCCGACATCTTGCTTGACACTGTCGTCAGCACGCAAAAATGAATTCGGAATAAATTTCCTCTGGTAATAAAAAACTCCCACTAAAATTAAGAAAAAAAAAAAAATTCGATTTTAACCTCATTGTTTTAGTATGAGGTAGTTAGTGAAATTTTAGTTCAGCTATTTTTTCCAGCAAACTTTAAAAAAAAAAAATAAATAAGTGTTCTTTTATATTAATGAATGTTGCAAAAAAAAAAAAAAAAAAAAAAAAAAAAAAAAAAAAGGAATTTATATCCAGCTCTCACTCAAATATTTATATTTTTACGGCTTTGAAATAACGTGTGTGATGTCAGATCAAAGTATGATGTAGTAAATGAATATTATTTAACATAAAATTTTTATAAATTGAAATTGTTCAGCAACTATAAAATATTTTAACCGAAACTGTAACGTTGTAATAGTTCTATCCCGGGGGGGGGGGGGAAATCGAAATCGCTATTTTGATGTTCCAAATTTAGTCGCATTTTATATCTTCAAAATTAAAGAAATTATGGTAATGCTGTCCTGTTCTTAAAAATTGATTTTGAAGGTATTATGTACAGCTTTTCTATGACTACTTTCATTTAATAAGTCTGTCGTGTTATTTTTTAAATTTAATAAATTTACACTCTGCAGTGAATATATTTATAAACTTTTCATAATAATACTGAATGTGTAATTTTCGTTTTCTTTATTAATTCTTGAAATGGCTATTTCTCGAGATTTGTGATCGTATCTGCAAGCACATTGCATTATTGCATTCATAAAATAATTCGGGAAAAAAAGAAAATTTGGACATTGGCCAAGTCGGGATTTTTATTACATGAACTGCTAGTTTTTGTTTATTTGTTTTTCTCAAGCGAAAGTTGGTAAACTCTGAAGACATATAGGTATGAAATAGTTTATTATTTGAGAAAAACCGTCAGGTTGGAGTATACAGAATAGAAAGTAATAATTTACGAAGCATTAAGTACAGAGTGTTTATCACAAAGAGTATGGTGATTCATTGTTATGATGTCCATCTTTTGTTTTGCTATACAGTGGCTCACAAAAGTGTTCGTACACTTATGAGTTTTAGTGAAATATAGCTTGGGTTTTCTTCCGCAGAGGATCCGTTGGCGCCGATGCGAATGAAAATTTTTTAATATCTATAAATTTTAGCAAAACAACATTGGTTGGATCCTAGCAGAGCCCACACCCTTGGCGCGCCCACTTATGGCGCGTATCGATGTGTACATGGACAAAGTCAAAGGAGTGTGCAATGCCAAATTTGTGCAATTGTGGGATGTTTTTTTAAGCGAAAATAGATCGATGTGCACATGGATACTGAGTTCGTGCAATTTTTTTTACTCTTTATTTTCAAGTTGGCGATTTTGAGAAACGCGCGAAGCAGTGGGTGATTCTGCACTTTCCCAGTTTGTGGCCAGAGGCTCTCCTATTATTTTATGAAGATACTAAAACTTTTTTTTTTGTGTGTGTGAAAAAAATCTAATTAAAAAGTAACAGAAAAGTTACCTCACAAAAGTCTTCGTATGTTTTAAAGAAATCTGCATATATCAGTAAATATTGTAATATTTCTGTTAGTATATCCTACAGTATTTGCCACAGTTTTCAAACATCTGTGCTTAGAGTTCACCAGTTATTTTCTGTAATATCTGTAATAACCTCTAATTCTCTCTAAACATGTTCTGTTGGGTTTAACCCTTAAAAATGTAGTTGCCATTTGGCAACATATTCATATTTAGTCATGTAAATCAAACCAAAATGCAAATTTTAGCTCACTGCATAATATGACCAATTGGATACATACAGTTTAGGTATATAGTTTTGAAAGTTTCAGTGTGGTGGCACGACTAACATGGTGTAACTGTCATTATTGTATAGGGTGTGGTCATCATTTGTGTTTATGTGTTTGTTGTTAATTTGATGTATTCAAAGTTTTAAAATTGTTTGAACAAATTTAAAAGGTATATATTATTACATATTTGCCTATCACATTCTTTTGGTAAAAGTTAATTTCTAAAAGTTAATATTTTTTCAAAAAATGGAATAAAAACTTAGTTTAGATTATTTTTTACAATTTTCATTATTTTATTTGATATCAATTCTAATCATGCATTTAAGGGTTAAATCTTGTTACTGAGGTGATGTTTTGAGAACTTTTGGTCAGTTATGGACACCCAAAAGGCAAACGTTAAAGGGCTCTTAGGATCGTTATCCTGATAAAAAATAAAGTATAGTTTCCAGTACCCAAATTTTGGGCAGATAATTTAAAATTATCTTTTAAAATATTTAAATAAAGAGCATGATTCATTATGCCATCAATATTAAATTATTTAATCCTAGTGCTGACACGCATCCTCTCATAAGAACCCTTCCACTGCCATGCTTTACTGTTCCAACCTTGTTCTTGGAATTAAGCTAATTTTGGAACTACTCTCATATACGCCCTCGGTTGGCGACATTTTTGGCGAGAAACTCCACAGCGTCATATTACTACCTAAAATTTTGTCTGCATTTTAAACTTTAAGCCTAAAATGTCTGCAAAAATGTGTCCGTTCGCATGTGCAAAAGCTACGTTTTGAACACACGATTTAAGCTAAAAATCCGAAACAAAAACAAAAAAATTACATAGCAAAAACGCAAAGTTTCTAACCAAACATATTTCAGAAGACTCCATGTACACATCAATATGTTTTAACTTAAAAAAATTAATAAATTGCACAATCTATGCAGGAAATGAATCTACGAACTAGACACAGCTAGCTTAAATAAATTAACATAATAACAATAAATTTCAAAGAATACCACGTACACAGCATTGTGTTTAAACTTAAAAAAATCTATGAATTGCACAATCTAGGCAGTGCAGGAATCTACGAACTACACGCACCTCACTTTAATAAATTAACATAACAATATCAAGAATAGCGTGTACACAGCGTTCTGTTTCAACTTTAAAAAACATCTACGAATTGCACAATCTAGGCATTGTGCACTAATCAACAAAATAAACTAAAATAAATTTCAAACAATTTAAAAAAACAACAATAACGACAGAAGTTCATACTAAAAAACAATGAGCATAACATTCTACAAAATAAGAAACAAGAATAAAAATAAAATGCATTTACCATGAACGAATGCTTCTTCAAACACAGCAGAAATACCAATGCCGCTACGTATCACTATCATATTTATATGACAGCCAGACTCACTATCCACAAAATTGATACTATCTTTCACAAATAAATGTTCAAAACCTTCTTTTTCTAAATCCTTGTAGGATTTCCAGCCATTCGAAAAAACAGTTGTACCAAGCTCAGTTCGCTCTTTAATATACTGCATCAGAGTTTCCTTACTTTTATCATGCACAGGCACCGTAAATAATATCCCAGACCCTCTTTTTTCACACCTTCAAATACCCACTGCCCATCAACAGGATGGCCACGATATTTCTTTTTGCCGAACTTCGACTCGTCAGCTTCCACCATTCTATCTTTCCCTCCTATCTTCTGAGACACAGAGCATACAAAGTCCAGTATACATAAATCAGTCATAAATCACTTAAATACCACACATCACACGAACCAACTAGCAACCGAAATCCAAGTTTCCATATAAAAAGAGTTACCATCGAAACCAACAACGCGCTAAAAACCAGTACACAACACGTATCGCCGCATTTGGCGACCAGAGGGCGCATATAAGAGTAGTACCCTCATTTTTTTTCCTCCATATAATTATACGCCTATCAGAAACAAAAATGTTAAATTTGCTGTCATCTTAAGACATGCTTCCAATATGCTTCAGGCTTATTTACCATTGATTTTACAAAAGAAAAGCCTAAGCTTTCTAATTTTGCACTTCCAAAAATTTTCTTTGAGCAGAGCACCTATGTAATACAGCTGATCTGAGTACTCGAACAGTAGATAAGTTTTCAGTAAATTCTGTAGAAATCTTTACAACACTCAGTGATTTTTCACAGTTTTTCTAACTATAAATCTCTGATCATGATGAGTCATGTCAAGTCCTTTTTGTCAGACAACCTCTTCTTACTTTATTTTGGATCCAGTTTTCTTCTTTAAAGCATTTTTTCACATACTGCACCACAGAATTGGGGAAATTTATTAATTTAGTGATATCCCGAATTGAATTTTCCTCCTTATGATAAAAAATGATCAATTTTCGAATGCTGTTCGCTGTTTCCTTATGGTTATAAGCCATTTTTAAACATTAAATAAAATATAGCGAAGTAAGCAAGCAAAATTTAGCTTTAAACAATTTTTTAAATGTCAAAAAAATGCAAAAATAAAAAAAAGGTGGTAGATATTATTTTATTTATGAAATTTTATGAAAATGTTTTGTTGTACGATCACTTTGGTGGCATGTTTTACCTCCTTACATTTTTCAGCTTTTAGAAAAAGAAAATAAGTCAATATTTGAAATTAAAAAGTTTGGTTTTATTCAAAATTACATGGAGATGATATGAAAACATATTGGACTTTATATTTGAATTCAATTCCGGGTTACAGCACTTTTTCTGCAAATTGTGAAAGTGTGCAAACACTTTTGGGAGACACTGTATATGCCTAGAGGAAAGATGAGCGGACTGAAATCATGAGATCAGAATTTTAATTAATATTTTATGGCAGATACTTGTATGAGAATTTTCAGTGTTATTTATTGCAATTTACTGCACATTTTCAATAAGATTGGCTGTTTGAATGGGTAAAAATATATTTCGGGGTTTGGCCAGCAAGGCATAATTTCAAGATAGCCGCTACACAAAGCAAAAATAACAAGTCTAAGAATTGCACAGACTCTGGGATCTGTGTACACAAATATCTAGTTTCACTTGAAAAGTCATGAGAGAATTGCACAAACTCGGCAATACGAGTTTTGACTTTGTCTTGTCCTTGACTTTGTCTATGTACACATCGATCTATTTTCACTTAAAAAAAAAAAAAAAAATCAGGAGAATGATGATGTCATATAATGTTAAAACAAAGTTACTCATCACCCAAATTGAACAAAATTTGTAGCCTATCAAAGCTCAGTAAACTCCATTTTAAATCACTCAAGGAAAGGGGCACCCAAAAATGTAATTAATCTTTGAATGATGAAAATAGGAAACCATATCGGTTCTTTTGTTTTTCATTGTAGATTATATTTTTTTCAAATAAAATGAATCTTTCTATGTATAGAAAGAACAATTAGATTTAACTGCAGTTTGAATAATTTTTTATATTTCTCTGCTAAAGTACGGCTTGGCTGATTTTTTTTTTGTTGTTTGACATATCATGGATTATTCTCACTATTAAATGTTTTGTTGTAGAAAAATCTGTGAAGAAACCCATTTGGTAAATTCCAAGGCAGAGCAAGAATAGTAAAAACATTTTTTGTGATTATATTATATTTGTTCAAGCTTGTTATTAAAATATTTCTAATATATTGGGCAGATAAGCAACGTTGGGATTGGGAGTGGGAGAAGATTGACATAGATAATTAGTTGTCATATAATTCTGTCCTTGCTATTTCTCACTCTGGGAGAAAATATACTGGTACTCAAATATTATCTTGTCTATAAAAATATTTTTTCTGCTATCGGTTAAGAGATTTTGGAAATTGAACAGAAATTTTTAGTGGTGGCTACTGTGGTAACTGTGTAGAACCTTATCTGAAACAGATAAAGACACATTTTAATTAAAAGTGATTTTAAGAGATAATTACTGTAATATAATCATAGTAAATAATTATGCATCATAGTGAATAACTAATTAGTAAATATAATAATAGTAAATACGATAATTATAATTAATGTAATGTAAATAATTATGTTTACATATAGTATTATTATCATAATTTTCATTGATGTGAGGCTGCTTGAAATTCTTAATGACAGATATTTTTCAAATTTCTGATATATATATATATATACATATTGTAGGTATTTCTGGATTGTTTTTGTAGTAGTACATTGTCATGAGGCTGCAGTTAATTTATTGCAATTGTCCATTATTGCAAATCTTATGAATTTTTTTGCAACTGAATGGTCTAATGAATGTAAAGTTGTAGTCTGATCATTTTCACAAGGAAAACTGAACATAAAGGTTCTTTGCCCTCTGCAATTATTGGTACAAAATTGTCTGTCAATAGCCTCAGCATTACCTAGATTGAGAAATCAGTTTGGTTCTGAATAGAATATGACTACCTTTAAATCGGGTATTTTTTCTTAGTTGTGTCTGTTACAGAACTTAATTTCGTACAGCATTTCAAATAATCTAGGCATTATTTGCAAAAATCCTATGATTTAGCCAAGTGCACTTTAGTTAGTTTAGAGAAAAGTTATTTTGTTATTTTCATAATTATATTTCAACAAATAAGTGGAATTGAATTGAATCTTAAAAGTTTAAAATAATACTAAAACAGGGTAACAGTTTTTTTAATCCTAATGAAAAATAACTAGTCTCAATTAAATTAAAAAAAAGTTTGATAAAATTTAATAAGTAAGTAGTGAGGAGTAAATTATACTGATGCCTGCTGTATTGGGCAAGATCTGACAAATGCTGTATGATTAAATGCTCGATAGAAAGATAGTGATGATATTAACAACGAAGTTCCATTTTTCCCTTTCCGATACTAATATATTTTTTGACAAAGGGGTTGAAAGCTGAATATTTTATTAAATGATTTAAGAAATTATATTCAATATAAATATGAAGGCTGCTTTAAATTCTCATGATTTTGTTTCATTTTAAATTATTGTGAAATGATTTCATGATCTTTCATTAAGTAATGTGGCCCATCGGTCACTGAGTTGTTAACACACTGACTGCCAGTCACTTGAGTTAGATTGATAGTTATTGCCATCCATATGGAAGTAAATTGTATCCAGATGCCAACATACTTATTATAAGAAATATGATTTAAAAATATTAATAAAAGATAATTATGTGATACCTAAGTATTATTTAAGGCTTTTATTAAAGAATTTTTTAATTACGCGCCAGTGCATGATTGGCACTACATGTCAAAATTTTCCCCAAGTGCCACATTACGTGCTGGCGCGTGGAATGTAAAAAATAAATTTAAATAAGAAAAATAAGTGACAGTATGCATTATTTAATATGTATTACAGATAATTATACATATTACAAAGGAATTTATAACAAGAAAATTACGGATACATCTAGAATGTTGAGCACGAAGAACAGATGGCTGTTTCAGTAAACTTTGTATCACGGATAAACGGGTAGTCATACAGTGATGTATTTTCATTGGATATAATTATATAGATAAAGTGGGAATAGATAATATTATATAGATAAAGTGGGAATTATTATAGATAAAGTGGGAATCGTTTATCATTATTTGCAAAACATGCACAAATATTTTCATGGGACACCTAATTGTTTTTCTCCCACAAGGATAATAAGCAAGCATCTAATCTTTCTTATCATTAACGGCCATAAATTTATGATCTTTAATTACAGGTAGAGGTTTCAATTTAATTTCACCTGTTTTGTTTGTTATTTCCGCCATATCATTTTTATATTCGTTGGAAATGTAAGTGACGTCTCTCTTATCCTGCCACTTTGCAATCATCACACCATTAGCATATTTTGCTACAGTTTGCCCTTTCTTCAGTTTTTTTTTTTCGTTTACCTCTTTTGGAAATGTCTTTCTGTTCTTTCTGATTGTCCCAGTGCAGCTGTCATAATAATTGTCCATAAATATGCTATGTCCTACATCCAGCATTTCCTCAAGTAAATTCATAACGACTTTTTTTTTTTTCATGTTCTTTTCCGCCAGAATCATCCAACATGCCTGTATATATCATAAATTTCAAAACCATACCATCAGGGGTTGTGATCATGTACAACTTGATACCATATTTGTGACTTTATTTGGTATATACTGTCTGAATATAAGCCGTCCATGCCACAATACCATCGATTCATTGTTTTCCATCATAGTTGAATCATCCTGCTGACATGCAGCCTCTGCACGATTCGTTCTTCATCATCATCAGAATCCGAAATATCATGCGTACCAGTCGGAGGAACGAATTCTTCGTCACTGTCATAACTAAAATCGCTCGGGAACTCATCCGATAGCTCAGCCAACAAATTTGCTGTTTCATCATCCGTAAGAGCCTTTTTATATTGAACTTTTCGTTTTTTTGGGCACGAAGACCCTGCACTATCATCTCTATAACTCATACTAAAAGATTATTTTTTTAATAAAAATAAAACGGTAATTTCGAAACCTCGATTATTTATATGTAGTTTCTAATTTTTACTCCATGCCAATACCATAAGAAATGCCTTGCAAATTTTAAGTTTTTGTAATTTTCTCATATGTGGCCAAATATTTTTCATTAGAAAGTTCTCCTAAGGCAGTGCTTTTTGTAGCCATTCTTAGTATACTTTATCATAATAATTTACTAAGTGAAGTGCAAAGTGATGGAGAAAGATTTGTATGTTGTTTATTTACATACTATACTAAGGTTTACCATGTTTCAATGTTTTATATGACCCTTGCCCACCCCCACCCCCTCACACACAAAGTCAAACTCAAAAAATTAATGTAATGTATTTGTAGAGTAATATATGCAATTGATTTGTGCTAATATGAACCTTCAATATAATTAGAAATGGTAGACCAACTCACTTTCCGCAAGATAGATGTAATTTTTCTATCGGTGTAATGACCCAGTCGATCAGCCAGAATTCTGTTATGACTACCTTTTTGAAAGCATAAATAAAATAAAGTGAGTACTGTTAACAAAATGATAATTTGGTACTTTTTCATTATTCATCTGCCGCACATTTTATCGAGTTTTTGCAATTGTAAACAGTTTCTAGTTATAAGAAAAGTTTATAAATGACAAATATGACAGACGATGGACAGTGTGACATGATGACACTATGATGATGGACCATTGTGGCATGATGACACCATGTGACAGATGATGGACAATAGATTGTCACCTGCCACGTGCCAAGAAGCATGACAGGTGCATAACAGAAAAGAATGCTGTGCTTAACATTTTAATTAATATAAATTAATTGAACTATTCATCTATATACAGGGATCAACCATTTGTCGATCCTTTTCCATTATGCAATTAATTTCTTTCAAATTCATTGGTTTGTGTTTTTGAGTTTCGTATTTTACCACAGTGGGACTTAAAATGTGAGACTTACCCAGCAAAAAAACAAGCGGCAGTTATATTCTTTCAAGATAAAGATTTTATCTATAAAGAAAGACTGTGTTAAAATAAGCATCTGATGGAAATGAAATATTTGCCGAAAGCTAAATGGTTCTGCTATCTTCATTCAGGCAGAGAAGAGAAAGGTATCTGAAAAGGAATCTGGCTTGAGAGCTCACGTATTCCTTTTGTCTCTAGTGTATGATATATTTGTGGTGTGAAAAGCTGACTTCCATTGATTTTTGTGAATTAAGTCACAGCAGAACAGTGGACTTGAGTATTTACCTTCAAGAGGTATGTCATAATTCTTTGATGTCCTGTCTTAAAACTAAGATCAGTAGTACTGACAAAATCGTTGAAATTGATGAAAGTTTGTTCACAAAGAGGAAACATAAGGTAGGTTGCATATTATCTCTATAGTGGGTTTTTGGAGGTTTGTATGAAGAATTGGGAGAATTCCTAGTCTACTTCCTAGTCACTGTTCTAGATCACTCTGCTATAAGACTCTGGGCATCATGTAGAATAATATAGCAGATGGAACAGTGATATTCTTGGACTGCTGGAAAGGTTACAAATGATCTGATTGAAAAGTTGCAGATGATAACTTCATCAGTGAATCATTTGTTCAATTTTATTGACACGGTCACATAGGCTGTCATACCCAGCCTATGAAACATTTTTGAGGCAGTGTTAAATGGTAGAACAAATACCGAAGAAACACTGCCATACTAGCAGATATTTGTAAATTTATGTTGTCCATTTAATGTTCTCATTCATTTCAACTAAATTCTTTTTAGTAATTAACAATGAAAAAAGTTCTTTATAGTAATAAATGCTATTTGTAATAATAAATTCCATCTATAAACTAATTTTGTAACTAGAAATTATTTACAATTAAAAAACCTGCCAAAATGCCTAGCAGGTGCATAATGGAAAAGTACTGATAATTTACTGCAATGAAAAAATGAAAAATATTCTTTTTAATAACAAATGCTATTTGTAATAATAAATTGCTATCTATAAACTAATCATATAAATAGAAATTGTTTACAATTAAAAAACCCACAAAAATGCGTGGGCAAGTGCATGACAAAAAGGTATTGATAATTTACTGCACGCAAAAGACCACAAACAAGTAGTTTAATTACGTCCAGGCATTTTCCAACAGAACA